GAAACTTCATAGGCTAGAAGGGATTGGCAACAAATATTCAAAGTCAAGAAAAATAGGGACCTACAGCCAAGACTGCTGCACCCAGCCAACATATCATTTAGAATCAAAGAGCAGATAAAGAGCTTCCCAGACAAGAAAAAACTTAAAAAGTTCATCATCACCAAACCATTATTATGTGAAATGTTAAAGGGACTTATTAAAGAAAAAGAAGAAGATCAAAACTAAGAGCAATAAAATGGACACAAATACATATCTATCAACAATTGAATCTAAAAAACAAACTCAGCAAAGAAGAACTCATGGATACAGAGAGTGCTTTGATGGTTGTGATATGTAGAATAATGTAGATTATGTAGATAATGTAGAATACCTCCAGGCTATGATGCTTAATGACTTGGTCTCCTGAAAGCACGCTATGGAAGGATTTCTCTATGAACTTTCATTTATTTTAAGAGCCTTTATACATTCTTTGCAATAAATGATAAGGTCTCCTTAATAGATAGGTTTGCAAATTCCTTCATCTACTCTCAGAGGTCTTCTTGACAGTCTTACAAAGGGACAATTGATGAAATGGATCTTAAGCTAAACAATACCAAGACAAGGGCTTACATAAGGCCAGGGAGATTAACAAGTTTTCCCAATTGAAATTTAACTACCTTGTTTGTTTGTTTGTTTGTTTGTTTGTTTGTTTTATAATCCAGAGGACCAGGGATAAGTGCAATAAAAATGTTTCAATGCCAGCCAAGAAAATTTCCAAGAATTTTCCAGCTGCAAAATTCGTCTACTAAAATAGGTTCCCCAACCTTATGGGACCTGTAGCAATTTTCCAGGCAGGAAAATAAATCCTTTATTTAAGTATTAAGAAGTAGCTGCTGCTACTGTAGCCCTTCAACCTGGGGATGCTTCTAGCCAGTGAGAATACATTCTGATCATCATTAAGACATTTTTTATCCTTAAGGGGGACAGCTGGATTGAAATCTACTTTCTAAACATCAAATAGGCCTAATTAATGGCATTAGGCCTGTTAGTTTCATCTCCCCATTCTATAAAGATAGGTGTATTTATTGTAGGTATCCATTTAATCATCCACTTTGGGGTTTTTTTTGCATTTTTTAAGTATTTTTATTGATTATGTTATTACAGTTTTCCCAATTTTTCCCCTTTTATCCCCCTCCACCCTGCCCCCACAACCCTCCAGCATCCACACCCCCTTACTTCATGTCCATGGGTTGTACATGTAAGTTCTTGAGTCTTCCGTTTCCTATACCATTTTTTCTCTCTCCCGTCTATTTTATACCTACTAACCATGCTTCTTCTTCCCTGTACTGTTTCCCCCTATTCCTCCACTCCCCATCCCCAATGAAATCCCTCTGTGTGATGTCCATTTCTCTGATTCTGTTCCTGTTCTATTTGTTTGCTTAGTTTTTGTTTTCGTTGTTTTTCTTTTCTTTTAGGTTCATTCATTGATTGTTGTGAGTTTGTTGTCATTTTACTGTTCAAATTGTTGATCTTATTTTTCTTACATAAGTCTCTTTAACATTCCATATAATAATGGCTTGGTGATGATGAACTTCTTTAACTTGACCTTCTCTGGGGAGCACTTTATCTCTCCTTACACTAATACTTCACCAGCAATTACAAAAAGTTAAATAGTTAGAAGCAAAATTTAGCTCTTTATATATGATGGCTTGGTTCACCTAAAAAAAAAAAAAAAAGACCTGGTGGTGCACAGCATGTAAAACCTTTAGTTTCTCATTTGAATTTCCTCAGATAAGGACTTAATAACTAAACTTTTTAAACCACTTAACAAACCAAATTGAAACATGGGCAAAAGACCTGAATAGACACTTCTCCAAGGAGGATATACACATGGCTAATAGACATATGGAAAGATGCTCAACATCACTAATCAACAAGGAGATGCAAATTAAAAACACAATGAGAGACCATCTCACACCTGTCAGAATGACTATCATCAATAAGTCAAAAAACAAGTGCTACCACAGGGGAAAGGGGAGGGAATTTCAGGGGAGAATGGGAAGGGTTTACAGGAACAAATTTAAAGGACACATGGACAAAAACTAGCGGGGGTGGAAATGGGAGGGAGGTGGGGAGGGCTGGATGGGTGGGCTGGGATGGGAGTAAAGGACAGAAAAATATACTTGAACAATAATTAAAATAAAATGTTTTAAAAGTGCTGGCAAGGATGTGGAGAAAGGGGGACACTTCTGCACTGTTGGTGGGAATGCAGAATGGTGCAGCCACTGTGGAAAGCAGTATGGAGATGCCTCAAAAAAATTAAAATGGATCTGCCTTTTGCCCCAGGAACTTCACTTCTGGGAATACAGCTAAAGGAACCCAAAATACTACTTCCAAAGAACATAAGCACCCCTATTTTTGTTGCAGTGTTATTTACAACCATCAAGATATGGAAGCAGCCCAAGTGTCCATCAGTAGATAAGTGGATAAAACAACTATGGGACATTTACACAATTGACTACTTGGTTGTAAAAAACAAGAAACTTTCATCTTTTGTGACAGTATGGGTGGACCTAGACAATGCTGTTCTAAGTGAAATAAGCCAGGCAGTGAAAGACGAATACTAATTGATTTCACTCATATGTGGAATCTAATGAACAAATGGAACTAACAGGCAAAATAGAGACAGATGCATAGATAGCAGTATGACAGGTAAGTGGGGAGGTGAGGGACAGGCACTGAGCAAAAAAGAAAAAGGACTCATGGAAATGGATGACAGTGTGGTGCTTGCAGGGGGACGGAGGTATAAGGGGACCAAATGCTTTTGAAAAAATACAGTTACTAGCATCGCTCTATCAGCAGGTTAAGAGCAGACATTGCAAAAGTACCGTGGGCTGAAGAAATTGCAAGCAATGAACATCACACTGTTGCACATGGGCCCTTTCTCAAAAAGACATTGACAAATGCCAAGGTCAATGTACTCAGCACTGGTTTTTAACACAAATGCAGAAGTCTTTTTGTGGAACAATACTTCAAAATGTTCTTAGATTTCAACAAGTGACTTAATAATACCAGGTCATAATTCTGGCTATTTCTCTCAATGGAAATGTGGATCCTGTTCGGAAATAGGGATCCTGTCCAGAAATGTGCACTAAGTTGGCCTGCAAGGAAGGTTGTGTTATAAAAAGCAGAAATAGAAAGAGCCCATGAAGTTTCTGTGACCTAGAAGAGACAAAATTACACCAAGTTACAGTGTATTTAAATTAACATAGGCATATATTTATTCCTGCTTTAGATAAAGAAGTCCTCTCTAAAAGATCTTAAAACAACTTCCATTATTTGTGCTAGCCCTGGAGGCAAAGAAGGGCAGCTGAAAATGTTCAGAGGAAATCTATGGAGGAAACATTCACAAAAATCTTAGCAGGTGTGCTCAGAATGCACTTAGTAAAGGAAAAGCATGCTTGCAAGTTGGGCAGGGTATTATGTGAGCTGCTTCTCAGTAACAAGTCTGAGAGGTCTTAAACCCATTGTCTGCAGGAGCCAGGCAGTTTCCATCTCTGAGTGAACAGGCAGGACGTGAATCAGTAGGGAGGAGTAGAGCCAGGGGAAGAGACCCCTGAACAATTGCCACCTTCAACAGGGGAAGTTTCTGATTCAGCTCCAATTGACCCCTTATGGTAATGAAACTGAGTGCACCAATCAGCATTTCCTCATTTTTTTAAAATAAGACAGAAATGCAAATTTTTATGGGAAATATCCCAATTTAAAAAGATAACATCAAAAGCCCAATATTGTAAGTCATACTGGATGTGTACATCAGAAGAGGTTTGTGACCAGATACACCTCAGGTGACTGTAGAATATGTCTTTCACCACATAATAGAGTACTGGTCTTGAGTATAGGTCTTTTTTCTACCTGATATGGCAACACAAAGGGGTGACACTACATCTAATGCATTTTTATGTACTCATCGCTTATAAAAATGACTTCCACAAATAATTCACTACAAAAACTTACTTCATGATAAAAGATACTGATGAATTTCAGTAAGAACCAGATAGTAAGGCAGACTCCCTGTGTTCTGCACCGGGTCCTGAGCAGGTCACCACTGTGCCCATGTTGACATAAGAACCTCAAGAGTGAAATAACTACATTTACCACAACAGAAATATAGGAAGGTAGTGAAAAAATGTCACTTACTTTTGTTGGAAGGTTATATGATACCATTGAAGGGTCTAATTTCAGGTTTCTAACCTACAAGTTGGACCAGAAATTTAACATCTGTTTGTAGGAGGTCTGCCCCACTGGGATCTGTCTCGTCTCTCCACATTTTCCTTTAAATGACACCACATGATTATTGTGTGCAGAGTATCCACAAAGGCTTCTCCCTGGGTGTTTTCAAGTTATGCTACTTCACAGAAGTGAACAAAACTCAAGCCAGTGTTAAAACAAGTCAAAGTGATTCCAAAAAAGGGGGAGCCAAAAAAACAAACCTCAAAGATATGTCAGAAACTACTACATACCTTCAGGATTTTAAACAAGAAACTCAGAGCTCAAGTCAGCAGCACAGGAAAGTGATGAGAAAGGGAACTTTTGGCTGAAATGGAACCAAGGAGATCATGCAAGTGAGAGGGCCCTGGGATTCTCCTATGCCAACAGCCCTCCGGCTCTATTTGTTCTGAGAAATAGGCTTGTCTTTCTGTCCCTCAGTGTCTGCCCCAAGTTCAGTTAAAACCAAAGGCCATTCCACAGCCAGTTTGTGGTTTTCGTCAACAGAAAGCAGACCCATGAGCAGAGCTCAGTCCTGTGTGGACACTGGTAATTAGAGTTGAACCATGTAAGTAGCAGCCAGCTGTCCTTGGGTATGTGTTGATCAGCAATGGATAAAACAAGAGGCTCATTGCACATTGGACCATGTGCCAATCTGTGGGTTTCTTCACATCTTAGACTCAGACCCCTCCAAGCTCTGCCAGCCCCACCCACAGGAGCTGCTTTATATCTCCAGTCCACAGGACAGGGGAGACCAGCTGCTCCTGAATCCCAGGACAACCAGCTGGATTTCTGCTCAGAGCAGCCACAGCAGAGACTGGGTAAGTAAATGAGCCTCCTAACCCAGAACAGGAGGAACCAATGGGACAAAAACTGTGGGAGAACTGAGCTGAATTAGTGCCCAAAACACAAGACAGATTTGGGACAGCTGAAGGGGAAGGACATAGAACCTCGGTTCACTACAGGGCACCTGCAGAGAGAGAGATGAGAGGGTTGTCACTTATGGGGCAGGGAATCAGAATATTTTTCTCTTTTTACAGGAAACATGGTTCCAACACAGTGGAAATCCCAGCTTTGTCTCCTGCTGCTGGGGCTCTTGGGAATGACGATCTTGGTCCATGCCCCACCTCCTGGTATAACCCCAGCTCAGTGGTTTGTAATTCAGCACATTAATATGACCAGCGATGTATGCAACATCGCAATGCGGGCAATTAACTTCTATAATCGTCCTCCAAGGATATGCAAAAATGAAAATACTTTTCTCAACACAACTACATTAGCTGTTGTAACTAATCTTTGTCATACTCCTAATATAACCTGTTTCAGGCAAGGCCGTAATTGTCATAGGAGCCCAGCTGCAGTGAATGTTACCTACTGCAACTCCACAGGACAGGCTCAATCTTACTTGCAGTGCCAATACCAGCAATATTTCGTGCTGAAGAACTACAGCATTGCCTGTGACAATACAAATGTTCCGGTCCACTTCGATAGACTCTACTAAACCTGGGTCAGCCCTCTGTGCCAAGCTTCTGTGCCAGCCCCACAGTCACAGCCACCATCTCAGACCACATTCCACCCTGGATATCAGCATCAGCCCACAACCCCTTTTACTCTCCACTGAGCTGAACTCCTGTGCACCTGCAATAAACTTCTCTGCAGAATCACCTACACATCTGTGTGCATCTGTTTCTGCCCCTCCGTAGTCACGTAGACACATCTCATCCAGATCACTTTTTCTTCCTCTAATACTCGATTTGAGGGAAATAGAGAGACACGAGGATAACAGGATTCTTGTAAAATAAAGCAACTCAAGAGTTTTCTCTCCCTCCCTCGCTCTCCTTTCTTCCTCAAGTTGAAAACCTGAAGCATCAACTGATCTGCATATTTACACCCCAGGAGATAAATGGCCCAGTTGAGTAAGTGGAAAGCAAATGTCTTTGATTCTGTCTGACTAATGAGTAATAAATTTTCCATAATATATGTAAACTTTTGTTGTTTTTTTTTTCTTTTTATTAATCATTGTTCATATACAGTTTTCTCCTTTTTACTCCCAATCCAGTTCCCCCTCCCACCCACCCCCCTTCCCTCCCATTACCACCCTCCCCTTAGTCTATGACCATGTGTCCTTTAAGTTTGTTCCTGTGAACCCTTCCCACTGTCCCCTTAAATTCCCTCTTCTCTCCCCTCCAGTCACCATCAGCCTGTCCTCTATTTCAGTGTCTTTGGTTACATTTTGCTTGTTTCTTTGTTTTGTTATTTAGGTTCCTGTTAAAGGTGAGATCATATGGTATTTGTCTTTCACTGCCTGGCTTGTTTCGCTTAGCATAATGTTTTCCAGCTCCATCCACGCTGTTGCATAGGGTAGGAGCTCCTTCTTTCTTTCTGCTGCATAGAATTCCATCGTGTAAATGTACCATAGTTTTTTGATCCATTCATTTACTGATGGGCATCTAGGTTGCTTCCAGCATCTAGCTATTGTAAATTGTGCTGCTATGAACATTGGGATGCATAGGTTCTTTTGAATTGGTGTTTTAGTATTCTTAGGATAGAGTCCCAGTAGTGGAATTGCAGGGTCAAAAGGCAGATCCATTTTTAGTTTTCTGAGGAAGTTCCATATTGCTTTCCATAGTGGTTGTACCAGTCTGCAGTCCCACCAACAGTGCACTAGGGTCCCCTTTTTCTCCACAACCTCTCCAACACTTGTTGTTTGTTGCTTTGTTTATGATGGCCATTCTGTCTGGTGTGAAGTGGTATCTCATTGTGGTTTTAATTTGCATCTCTCTGACAGCTAGCGATATTGAACATCGTTTCATGTGTCTTTGGATCCTCTGTATGTCCTCCTTGGAGAAGTGTCTATTCAAGTCCTTTGCCCACTTTTTAATTGGATTCCTTGTCTTCTTAGAGTACAGTCGTGTAAGTTCTCTATATATTTTGGAGATTAGACCCTTGTCTGAGGTGTCATTGGCAAATATGTTTTCCCATACAGTTGGTTCTCTTTTAATTTTCATACTGTTTTCTTTAGCTGTGCAGAAGCTTTTAATTTTGATGAGGTCCCATTTGTTTATTCTTTCCTTTATGTCCCTTGCTCTAGGGGACACGTCATTAAAAAAGTCTCTTCGTGAAATATCTGAGATTTTCTTACCTACGTTCTCCTCTAGGACTTTAATGGTGTCATGTTTTATATTTAAGTCTTTTATCCACCTTGAATTAATTTTTGTATATGGTGTAAGTTGGTGCTCAAGTTTCATTTTTTTGCACGTTGCTGTCCAGTTCTCCCAACACCATTTGTTGAAGAGGCTATTTTTATTCCATTTTATATTGCTGCCTCTTTTGTCAAATATTAATTGACCATGGAGACTTGGGCTTATTTCTGGGCTCTCTGTTCTGTTCCATTAGTCTATGTGCCTGTTTTTATGCCAGTACCAGGCTGTTTTGATTACAGTAGCCTTGTAATATAGTTTAGTGTCGGGTATTGTGATCCCTCCTACTTTACTCTTCTTTCTCAATATTGCAGCAGCTATTCGGGGTCGTTTATAATTCCATATAAATTTTTGAAGTGTTTGTTCTATGTCTGTGAAATATGCCAATGGTACTTTAATAGGAATTGCATTGAATGTGTAAATTGCTTTGGGTAGTATGGACATTTTGATGATATTAATTCTTCCAATCCATGAACACGGTATATGTTTCCATTTGTTTGTGTCTTCCTTGATTTCTTTCTTCAGTGTTGTGTAGTTTTTCTGAATACAGGTCTTTTACCTCTTTGGTTAGGTTTATTCCTAGATATTTTATTTTTTCTTTTTGCTATTTCAAATGGGATTTTTTTCCCTTGATCTCTGCTTCTGCTGTTTCATTGTTGGTGTACAGAAATGCCTTTGATTTCTGGATATTGACTTTGTATCCCGCTGTTTTGCCAAATTCATTTATTAGGTCAAGCAGTTTTTTGGTAGAGTCAATAGGATTTTCTATGTATACTATCATGTCGTCTGCAAACAGTGATAGTTTTGTTTTCTCCTTTCCGATTTGGATGCCTTTTATTTCTTTTTTCTTGTCTGATTGCTGTGGCTAAAACTTCCAGTACTATATTGAATAGAAGTGGTGAAAGTGGACAGCCTTGTCTTGTTCCTGATCTTAATGGAAAAGGTTTTAATTTTTTGCCCATTGAGAATGATGTTGGCTGAAGGTCTCTCATATATGGCCTTTATTATGTTGAGGAATGCTCCCTCTATTCCCACTTTGCCGAGTGTTTTTATCATGAATGGGTGCTGTACCTTATCAAATGCTTTTTTCTGCATCAATTGATATGATCATGTGGTTTTTGTCTTTGCTTTTGTTTATGTGATGTATTACATTTACTGACTTGCGAATATTGAACCATCCTTGCATCCCTGGAATGAATCCCACTTGGTCATGGTGTATAATCTTTTTAATGTATTGTTGGATGCGGTTTGCCAGTATTTTGTTGAGGATTTTAGCGTCAATGTTCATCAGTGATATTGGCCTGAAGTTTTCTTTCTTTGTTGTGTCTTTATTTGGTTTTGGAATTAGGATGATGTTGGCCTCATAAAAAGAGTTTGGGAGACTCCCATCTTTTTGGATTTTTTGGAATAGTCTGTGAAGGATAGGGGTTAGCTCTTCCTTAAATGCTTTGTAGAATTCTCCTGTGAAACCATCTGGTCCCGGGCTTTTGTGTGTTGGGAGTTTTTTGATTACTGCTTCAATTTCTTTTGTTGTTATTGGTCTGTTCAGACTTTCTGCTTCTTTTTCATTGAGTTTTGGAAGATTATATTTTTTCTAGAAAGTTGTCCATTTCATCTAGGTTTTCAAAATTTTTTGGCATACAGTTCTTCGTACTAATTTCTTACAATCCTTTGTATTTCTGTGGTATCTGTTGTAATCTCTCCTCTTTCATTTCTGATTGTGTTTATTTGGGTCTTTTCTCTTTTTTTCTTGATGAGTCTGCTTAAAGGCTTGTCCATTTTGTTTATCTTTTCAAAGAACCAGCTCTTGGATTCATTGATCCTTAGAATTGTGCTTTTAGTCTCTATATCATTTAATTCTGCTCTGATCTTGGTTATTTCCTTCCTTCTGCTTGCTCTGGGCTGTCTTTGTTGTTGTTCCTCGAGTTCTTGTAGACGTAGGGTTAGGTTGTTTGTTTGGAAAGTTTCTAACCTTTTTAGGTGGGCCTGTATCGCTATGAACTTCCCTTTCAGGACTGCCTTGGCTGTGTCCCATAAGTTTTGGGTTGTAGTGAGTTCGTTTTCATTTGTTTCCAGAAACCTTTTGATTTCTTCCCTAATATCATTCTTGACCCATTCATTGTTTAATAGCATGCTATTTAATCTCCATGATTTTGAGTGTTTTTTGGTTTTTTTTCCCTTCGGGTTGGTTTCTAGCTTCAGTCCCTTGTGGTCTGAGAAAATGCTTAGTATGATTTCAATTTTCTTGAAATTCTTGAGGCTTGTTTTGTGTCCTATCATGTGGTCTATCTTTGAGAATGTTCCATGCACATTTGAAAAGAATGTATATTTAGCTTCTTTTGGATGGAGGGCTCGGTAGATATCAGTAAAATCCATTTCATCAAGGGTATTGTTCAATGCCACAATATCTTTGTTGATATTTTTGTTTAGAAGATCTGTCCATTTTTGATAGTGGGGTGTTAAAATCTCCCACTATAATTGTGTTGCTGTCCATATCTTTCTTGAAGTCCTCTAAGATTTTCTTTATGTATTTTGGTGCTCCTATGTTGGGTGCATATATATTTACAATATTTATGTCTTCTTGATGGATTCTTCCCTTGAGTATTATGAAGTGACCTTCTGGGTCTCTCTTTATGGACCTTTTTTGGAAGTCTATTTTGTCTGATATGAGTATTGCTACCCCAGCTTTTTTTTCTTGACCATTTGCTTGGAAGATTTGTTTCCAGCCCTTCACTTTCAGCCTGTGTAGGTCTTTTATCCTGAGGTGGGTCTCTTGTAGACAGCAGATATGTGGGTCATTTTTTCTTATCCAATCAGCTATTCTATGTCTTTTGATTGGAGCATTTAATCCATTTACGTTTAAGGTTATTATTGATAGGTACTTATTCATTGTCTTTTATGTATGTGTGTTCCTCTCTCTCTCTCTCTCTCTCTCTCTCTCTCTCTCTCTCTCTCTCTCTCTCTCTCTCTCTCTCTCCTCCTTAAAGCAGTCCTTTTAGAATCTCTTGCAGAGCTGGTTTGGTCGAGGTGTATTCTTTTAGACTTCTTTTGTCTGAGAAGCTTCTCATTTGGCCTTCTATCTTGATCGAGAGCCTTGCTGGGTATAGTAGCCTTGGTTGCAGACCTCTGGTTCTCATTACCTGAAGTATTTCTTGCCATTCTCTTCTGGCTTGAAGTGTTTCCATTGAGAAGTCAGCTGTTAGCCTTATTGGGGCTCCCTTGTATGTTATTTCCTTCTTCTCCCTTGCTGCCTTTAAGATTCTCTCTTTGTCTTGAAATTTTGTCATTTTAATTATGATGT